ATTTTTTCAAAAAAAAATTGAATGATAATCTATAAAAAATTTAACATCATCTTAAAGTAGACGTATTTCTAAATACCTGCAAAAAATTACAATTTTTTATTCAAAATTTCCGAAGATATACGTGAATTTATATATTGTCGAGTTTTGAAACTTGGCATATTTGTTGAAAGTGATAATACATCCGATGTGGTTTAAACACTTTGCTAAAATTATTTAGAAGTAGAACGATGTGACTTTTTCTCCCACTCCGGCATAATGGAAGGGAAAGGAAAATTGATGTCTATATATTAAGAGTTCGCCAAGTGAATTATTCTTGGCCAAACTGAAAAAATTTCACCAAGATAAATTTTTGAATTTCTTCGTAAATTTGGTACCAAATTCTACAAAATATAATATCTAGGCATAATTTGAGTCGTAGAATCGAAATATGGAAAAGCATTGGTATGTTATTTCAGAAAAAGTCCGATTTTGTGTCAAAATACCTATGTTAGAACAACGCTATATATAAATCTGATATGTATCCTAAGTCGCGCTTTCGAGACATGAAAAACGCAATTTGAATTTTGTCAATCGGCCCAGTAGAACGGGAGATATAAAACAGTCCCCCTTTTTTTTTTTTTTTTTTTTTTTTTTTTTTTTTCGCAATGTACATAGCAGGAGTAATTACATTTCGGGGGTGGGAGATATAAACAATATGACATAGACAGATTGTTATGCGACCAGACGACACAAGAAACAAATTAGTGGCCATCTTGCAAAGCGGAGGTTGCTAGATATTGAAAATCCAAATTTAAAAGTGCTTTACATTTTTGCAATCAGTGGCGGCAGTAATGTACTATAAATGAGTTCCTTGCAATAACACCATAGATACAGAAGCCAATGTTAACATCAATAAGAAAAGTTCTGGCTCAACGACTCCAAAGTAATCACTCATCCGACGCCACCCTATATTACCCTCCAGGCTATATCCCTTGATAAAATCGACATCGGTGGAAAGTTAAATGTCAACATCACGTTTTTAAGTGCCGATTACCATTACACGGCATATGTGACAGATATTAAAGATCCTGCATACTCGAATTAGACTTTCTAAGGAAATATAATTTTTCTTTAAAAATAACGAACTGCATTCTGCCTCTGAGGACATAACCCCCTTCGTAATTAAAGAAAAATGATAATAGCTCCATCAATAATAGCTCAAGATGATATAACAGTTTTACCAACAAGAACAGAGGTTTACTTCCTGGGTCCATAGCTGAAAACAGAAATATCCGATAAGGTATAATGGAAGAATTCTAACAATCCTAAGAATTGCAAAGAAAAGTCCGATATGAGTACAAGTAACCTATCGAGGACAGTCATCTCTGTAAAAGTTGCCAGCATAAATGATAAGACAAATGTCACTAGGAAAGGATTTTCACTGCTTTGTGGTTAACGTTCTTAATAATTTGAAGTGTAACTACTTATTGTGTTCTGTGATACTGAAAAGAGATGTACGAGTACTTTTGTGGGAAGTTCCTGAACTGCAAAGTATTTCTTTTGGGAAAAAAATATTAAGCTATCATTAATTCAGTGTACATTTAATCCATTATGAGCCCGTATGCATGCAGCAACATTATTTGGCGTTATTAATATCCCTTGCTGCTGCCATAAGCGCGCTCAAGTGGATTAGGTTTCGAAATGTTTTATATTTTGTGTTTATTAAATGTGTCTTTTCTTCTCATTTCTTCTTGAATTTGTCTAAGCGTTTGATGCTATAATTTTGAAGTTTTTCGCAGTGTTTACTTCGGCCTATAGAGGTTGAACTGACAAAGACAAGTATTACTTTTATTTCTAGGACAATTTTTAAATTTTAAACTTTGTATCTTTGTCGGTTCTGAAACAGACTGTTTTATTTACTTACTTCTTTCGTTGCACGAACCATTTGATGACGATGCAGCGAAAGATGTAAATTTCATATTTTATTTTTGGTTTTGGCATATTTTGCCCCCACATTTTTATTGCAGTTTGCCACTGTGCTTCTGGCGGTTTGGTTTTGACATGTGATTTATTCAGAGTTCAATATTTTAAACACATCTTTTGTTTTTTTTGTTCTATTTTGCATTGCATATATATATGTAATAGATTCTGTAGTAGAACGCAGGCGGTTGTATCCGTAATGAACAGCTAGAATTTTGATGTCTTAGAATGCTGAAACGACGATCCACTATGAATAAGAAATTTGGCAGTCAAGGTATATTTAATTCACTTTTATTTCAGTAAACATGTTGTGGCCGCAATCCAGTTGGCACATTAATTGTGCCCATTCCAAAAAATGTACATTTTTGATAAATTTGTAGCAAGAAAGAAGCAGCAGATAGACAGCAGTCCAGCTAAGCCAAAGCGGTGAAAGCAAATGTTATGTTCAGAGTGAAATCTTAATTCAGACTGAGTTAGTTTTGGTTCTCAATGCATTTTTACTGGATGGTTAATATTGCTGTAAAATTACTATTGGCTGCAGTGGCGGCTCGTAATAAGCACTGTGGAACTGCAGCACCCCCAATTTCCACTTATTATTATTTTAAATATTTAATATAGTGTGCCCTTTAGTCTTTAATTCTTTTTTTATACTTTTACAATACATAATCCTTAAGTTTAATGTCAGTAGCCATCCCCCACTTTGTGAAAAAGTTACGAAAGTCTTTGTTTGGAACTGCGCGTTTCACAGTTCCTGTGTTTGGCTGTTCTGCACATGCGCACACAGAAAGCAACACGCAAACAGGGTAGAGAGAAGAGTACTCTCCCTCTTGCAGTGCCGAAATTCTGGCATGCTGTTGGAAACGTGATTTCTTTTTTACTCCGCGCGTGTGGTATTTCTGCACAAGGTGGAACTTTATCATACGGACCGGACCACCAGCGGCCGAGCGGTAAAGTCGCTGAACACTGGTAGTTCGGTCCGAGGTTCGAATCCCGCGAACGGGCTGGCTGCATGGGCGTTTTCGTGGTTTTCCCCATGTGTAACGTGTATACGAGCCAGTGTCCGTTAGAAAGTCCTCCACGAAGGCATCCCTCCCCTTAGGCAGATAGCCCTAGTGTGCTTTGCCTTAATTAAATACACCAAACACCAAACCATCATACGGACCATAAACAGAGCTCATGAAAATTTGCAACCTTTTAAAAAATTGCCTTAGTGAAATTCAATCAACATCAAATGCAGAACAACAACAAATGAAACAACTGTTCCTATTGCAAAAGCAATAGGAATTTTAAAATATCTAAATGATGATAATTTCAAGTTTTGGTGAGAGCTTTTTAATCAGATGCCTCATGTTGAAATAATATACAATCAAATGCAATTCAGAGAAATTAGTGTGTTTAAAGTTAACGAATATATAACAAATTCCAAAACTGCTATCTTAGAATTAAGAAACTCAAAGTACTGTGAGAATTTTCCAAAGACACCGATGGCAGAAGAATAGAAGAAGGAAATATGTGACTTTATACTATGTATTGATAGAATGCATAGATATTCTTCCACTAAACACTTAGCAGCTTCGAAATTGTTAAACAAGAAATGCATCGCTAGTTTTGGAAATGAACATTCTACAGAAGAAATTGTACTGACCGCTGAAGCATATCCAATGATTGACAAAGGAAAGCTTGAAACTGAGCTAAAAGTATTCTATTGTAGGTCTGATATCCATGAATACTACAAATTAAATGAGCTACTGAAATTTATCTTCGATAATAATCTAGATGATGTTCTTAGTGGAATTACGAAACTGATAAAAATTCTCTTGAGAGTTCCAATGACTACATCAAAGGCAAAATATTGAAAAGAATGAAAACTGTTCTAAGAATCACTAGAATTCGGAACGTCTAAATGCGCTTGCATTGCTTTCAATAAAGAAAAATTTCCTCAGTTGTCATGCAGAGATCAAGGATAAAATTATTAACTGTTTCGCGCAAAGTAAAACAAGAAGAATGGATTTCATTTTTAAATGAATAAAGAAAGAGTGAACTGTAAAAATTTTGGTTAAAGTAATTAAGAAATGCTTAATTTTTTTATTGTAAGATTTCCTGATGTTTAAAAATAAATTTTCTTTTTATACATGTTTGTTTTCTTTCAGACAATTTTTAAAACAAAGGTTAAATTTTTTTGGAACAGCACCCCCACTAATTTTAGCCACGAGCCGCCACTGATTGGCTGTTTGAGTTTTAGTTTCATTTACATCATCAGAAATATGTAAGAGTCATATGACATAGATTTTTCTCGAAATGATGCAGTGCAAATAGAGGTTACTATTTTTAGAATACAGAAGGGAATTAATTTTCTCTGCTAACTTAATTTTTTACATATTCTTTACTTTTCTTACATATATAGAAAGAGGCATTTAATTTAATTGTTCTTTTCCTGTTGAATGAAAGCAAAATGAAAGATTCAGAACAGTCTCGTTCAGCAATGCAGCAATCTTTTTAGAGGGAGCGATACTAACATGAATACCTCTTAGTTTTACTTTACTAAAGATATTCACTTCTTCACTACATTTTCATGTGCATCTTAATGCGTGTTAAAAAAACAATTATTTAAATTTTAAATATTTTCACATTTTTCTGTTTTTTTTCCAGTAAATTATGCAATATGTATCTTTAAATGCATCTTAAAAAATACAGAAAAATTATAATTTTATTTCATATGGGTACAAAAAATATGGCTTATTATTGGAAATACATAATCACTTGTATTCATATGAAGCGGAATTTAAAGCAGTCTGTCACAGGCATACTTTTTAAGGAAACAAAAAGTTTATACTTTAGGAAAGCAAATAAAAGTTAGTCTGATAAATTTCCGTTTTATTATATTCGGTTTCCTTGAGAGGTCTGTTTAGCATCATTTCTTTGTTAGCAGCAGGCGTGTCTTCGACGTTGAGGCGTGAAGGTATTTGAAATGAGAAAAAGAAGATCCCAAGCATTTATTCAAATATTCAAGAAGTCATTTGTTTCAGATATAAAGGGCAGAAGTGACTGCAAGCAAGACAGTTCACAGGAGCACGTTCTTACCAAACAACAGCACTGCTTTTCACTATGTCTTCTTTTCAAGTTTCAGGGATCCTTTTGGTGTCTATGCTGATACTTTTCGCCAGTAGTGCTACGGCACAAGGTAAGTAAAATTTATTTCTTTTACAAATCTTATCTGTTATTGCAGAATACTAAAATTTACCACGTAGTCGGGTAATTGAGTATTAGATGAAAAATAACTGTTTATGTGCTGCCAGACTTATGATGGGGATAAAATTCTAAGAAGCCCATTATTGTTTGAAAATACCGCAAGTCAAAAATACGGAAGATCAATTTGTAGTTTATGGAAACGATTTAGAGAATTTACTTTTATGCAAATTTTCATTTGGTAGCCTTGATTCTTGGCTGTAGTTCTAGCCCGAATTCTCCATGAAAGTAAACCATTCCTTAACACTATCATGCTAATTTTATTCCTTTGCTCTTGGATGGTTTCTATTTTATTCCACTTATCTTTTATCGTTTCCGATTGTCTTAGGTCCGTTCAGTGTTTTCAGATGCTCTTTTTTAAAGGTTCATTTTAACAAGCCGAAGGGGCAAAATTCCATGGGAGAAGCGCCAAGTGATTTTACGAGTATTTCATTAAATGAGATACATTTTATTCTTGTTTCCTAGTCTTTCTTTGTTAAATAAGCGGCAGTGACTTAGACTTGTGACTACAGACTTTGTTCATATGAAGCTCAAATTTACTGATGTTCTTCCCAGAAAAGTCTGAAATTTCTTCTCCGAAAATTAGTTCTAACAAACAATGAATTAATTTTAGCTTTATGTGAGACTTTTTTTCCCCTTTTAATTTACCGTTGTAACAAAATTCTGCAACTAACATGAATACAGTTGGAGTTTTTTCTGGAAATTCACAAAGCCATTATGGTCATTTTCGTCGGTTCAGCAATAGAAAAGTGATCTTTCTTCGTCACAGTCACTGAAATACATCCATGCCTCATCGACTGTTACCACAAATTTCCATTTATTAGCAGCTAAGTATTTTTCATGTAATTTTCATATAATCAAATCTTTATGAATGATTTTACTCAGAGCGCCAAGAAACATTCCCAGTTCCAATGCAATCTCTGAGTCCATGACCTTTCTTTCAGCACTTCACACTCTTGATATTTACCTGCAGTCGCACAGTTTTAGCATTCGGTTTCTAGGACAATTTTTCATTTTTATTTTCATCCAGACGCTTCGTATCTTTTAAATTGAATATATTTAAAATACCTTTCTTTGAAATAAGAAAATCTCGACTTTACGATTTGTTGATATGAATATTTTTCCTCAGAAAGTGTATTTACGCAAAATTCGAACCATCAGTCATATTTAAGAGGTATTTCCAAAATAAATACCTTATTCTGCATTCTAATCAAAACAAAAGAGTAGCAGACGATTATACTGAAAAATGACAAACTTTTATCTGAAAATGAGAAAATTCGAAGGTAAAATTATTTTCATAAAATGTGAACGACCCTCTGTATATCAACGATGCATTTATTTACCGAACATATAAACTTGACCTAACCTACGTATCAGAAGATTAACATTAACCCCACATATAGAAAACTTCATTTAACGTAAGCCTAGTCTGTAACAAAATTTCAAATATTTCATGGCACTGGAAGTCAAAAATGATATAGTTGTACTGATACACGATGAAGATACATACCCGGATACAAACGAGGCTTAAACAATGTTTGAATCATGAAATTTAAACTGATTGCTAGGGCTATACAAACATGATCATACATTGTACCTCCTTTCGACGAAGGTGCTTTCTTTACATCCAACATAAATAGAGACCAATTTCTCTCAAAAGGTCCTCTACGAAGGCATCCCTTAATATAAAGATAATAGTCTTTTGGGTACATTGAATGTGATCATGTTAATTAGTCAATACAGTTATCGTTTTATTTAATTTCATAAAAAAGGTACAGATAAGAATTTAATATGAAAATACTAAATATTATAGTCGAAATTTTAAAAAAAAGTTTCGAGCTTTTTTTAATTTTAATTATGCAAAAACCATTCGCAGATGACATGATGCTTACTTCATTGTCTCTAAAAATTGAACCAAATATAAATGTCAAAAAGATGTGTGATATTAAAATGAGCATGAGAAATCTCAAGATTTCGGATGCTTTTCGAGATCAACGATACGCATACTTTTCAGCCGTATTCATTTCCCATTTGGTTTTTTTAAGAAGGAATAAACAAATTCATTAAAATAAAGCTATATATTAAAATAAGTTGTTTGTCTTAAATAAATACACTTCAGAACTGCAATTGTGAACGTTTATCTGTAGTTTTAAAGACAAGTCTGCAGACTTAAACGCTAGTTTGTAGCCGTTTAGAGGCTTGTCGGACTGGATTGGTTGATCAAGATAAATCACATTATTTATGCAATACGATGCCTATGAGAAGAACTTTCAAAGCAAATCACCAATTACCTCAAACAGCTAACCGAATAAATCGTCAGAAATGTAACTTGAGGTGAACTATCTCTCAGCTTTCCCGCTCAATCTGTGATTAACTATATATTATGAATTGAACCGAAGGTAAGGTTAATTGATTAAGGCAATCCAATGCAAATCGAAGACTATCTACCTATGGGGAAGGATGATTTCGTGGATAGCTTTTTCAGGGAAACTGTTTTTATCCACGTTACTCATGTGGGAAAATGCTCATGTATCCAGTCCCTTCGTCAGGGTTCGAACCTAGTTTTAACACCGTTATCACTTGGCTGCTGGTGGGACAATATTGGATTGGATGGAAATACAGATTGAATTTGAATAATATTTTGATTAGGGCATTATCTCATATGTCAAGATGGGCCATCGTGAACGACATTCTAAGCGCAATTAGTTCCGTAGTCACGCTATATACAGTAGACTTCCGATTAATAGACTTAATACCATGGAACATAAAATAGAGGTCATGGAAAGCTACATAGTTTACCCAAAATCATAGTTTATTTGACAGCTTTAAAAGAAAAAAAGGGGGGACACACGCCAAAGAAAGACGAATAAGCTATACTTTAACTAACTATGTAGAGACACTAGGATTTTTTGGAAGCAGGAGATGTAAAAAATTAGCAACGCTTTCGCCGGGAATCGAACCACGGACCTCTGGAATACGCGCCCAGCGTGCAGACCACCACACCACGAAGGCATGCCAAGAAGGCGGGAGAAATACCTTATAACTATTGCAATTTAATTTGGTGAATAATTTCATTAAGTTGCTCAAATTACATTAGCATCCAAAACGAGAAGAATGCATCTCTAAAAAGAAAAAAAAAAAAAAAAAAAAAAATGCTCTTGTTTATATTGCTCTTGTATTTTGAAAGGAGACAATGGGAAGCAGAGCATTGATAGTTATAATTTATGTTTGCAGTTTAGCAACTCATGTTTTATGGGTAATATAACAAAATTTTAGTCAAGATTATGCTCAGTTAAATTACGTACTATCGTGAATAAAAACAGTTCTAAATACAGTGATATCGTCTGCTGTCACTGATGCTATCTCTGGTAATTTCTTTTTCTTCTTGCATTTTCCTGCAGAAATTTTGCTTTTATTTTATAGGTTTGTGATAAAAGTTTTCCCATCGTTCTACAATAAATAACATATAACATTTTTTTTTAAACAAGATCTGGTTGATCCGCAGTAATGTTAATCCTTTCACGGTTTACCGAGAGTTGTTTGCCTAAGAAAAGCCCGAAAACTTCAAGTAGCCCATTCAGTTAGAACGTGGAATAACTATAAATGTTTCCTGATTTGAGTCATTAATCGACAGCTTCATATAATATCGCATTTTAAAAACTTAAAAAGCCAGTTAGGTTCTACTTAAAATTTATTTCATCTGTTTATGATAACTGCTATATCGTGAGGCCCTGGTTCGTATCCGGGAGAAGGTATGCATGTTTGTAAGTGTATAATGTTTGTAAGACATGGGGGCATTTAAAATATTGGTGGACCGAAAATCCTTTGGAGAGGTTTAATGATACAGATACGGATTGAAGCAAAGCCGGCACCTGTGCATTTTCTTAGGTGTATATTAGTTATGGTTGGATCTTGCTAACTGTTAAGCTTCCGGCCTAATTTTGGTCCGTGGATCTCCCACCCCTCTTCACCTAACATCAGCCTCTCGACAGGACTTTCGGTTTACCACGCATTTTTAGCATTGCTTATCGAACTGACACTATATACTTAGAAACATCCACAACTTCCCCAGCTTCGAACTGGAGCCATTGGTACGCCAGTCATCGTCACTGCCCTCTACACTAGCTAGGCGGCCTGGTTTGGGGGTTATGAGGAGAAATAAGAGAACCGGTCGGATCCATTGAGTTTTCTCCATCAAATTTGGGAAGAAGCTGCTCAGTTAGTGCGATGGGACTGCACCTGTACCACCATTGGTGAAACTTTTGTGTCTCGATCACTTGTACATGTTTTTATGATAAATAATTATAATTATACTATTTTTGCCTCAAATTCTACATTTAAATACATGAATAGCAACCCAACTAACATCATAATATTCAGAGTTATGGTTCAATGAAACAGTTTCACGAGCGTATTGAAAACGTTCAGGCGAAACGTTCTGAATCATGTTACAGGTTTAAAATAGACAATAACACATTCAATACCGGTGTTAATAATACTCTTATTTAATGTGTAAAGAAACGTCCATACAACATCTTATGAGAATGTTGTAAATTACGTCTGTTTGTCACGGATTTAAAACGAGTAATAGCACGTCTAGAACCGATGTTCATGGCATTCTCATGTAACGTGTAAAGTACGTTTTATAAAGAATGTCCGTACAACGTTCTACTAGAAAGTTCTAAAACGGGCAACAGCACCTCTAATACCAATGCTAATGTCACTCTCATGTAATGAATGTTTTATAAAGAACGTTTATACAACGTTCTACCAAAGCATTAATTTAGTTCATGCACAGTTCTATAATGGATACAATATTGGAGCTAATGGCACGTTCGAGTAACGTATTAAGAACGTCCGTACAGCATCACTAATGATGATAACAATGTTATTCGTAGTTTATGTTTTCGTAAAGACTTGCCGCATTCTTATGCATATTTAAGAAAACTTAAGTAATGAAAGTGTTAATGGCGTTGTCCGAGTAAATCTATGACCATTAAAGCGTCTCTGATCTTGTAATTCAATTCTAAAAATTTGAATTGAAAATCATGCCATGTATTTTCTGTATCAGTATTCTACATTCCATTTGTTTCAGTATATAAGTTTTTAAAATTTATTTATAATTGGCTATGCTAAGTACGTAGAATTTTGTGTCACGAAATTTTTAAATAAACAAGGCAAAATGATTCTGTCACATGCTACTTCTAATTTTTAGGGTCTGGAACCCTGTATTTATCATGCTGTGTTTTTAAAAAAAAATTGCGAAAGAAAAACCTGCAGACATAATGTAAGAAATAAATGTGGCCTGTATATGACCTAGGTCACGCGGTTGATGCTTTGCATTGAAACTGATTTAAGCTTAGATATTTTCCATTAGTTTCTTCTGAAAAAGAATTTTTAAATTAAAATAATACTATTAACATTAAAATTATTTGTGTAAAATGTAAAATTCAATATATATTCAACATATATATAAATATGTAAGATAAAATTATATGAATCAGAATTATAATATAATTATAAATATTAATTCTCCCTCTCTATTCTAAAATCGTAGTAACTTCTCTGCATTGCGTCATTTCTAGATCATTCTATGGCCCGCGCAGCTCTGATGACGTAATAATTGGGAACTGAAACTGCCTTTGTAAACCAAAACTTTTCTCTTCGCCGTGCTTCCATCTTTCGTAACTACGCACTTCAGCTTTTGCTCTCTACTGTGCTAAGATGTAATTTCGCTGGCTTGCTTTCTATCTCAACAATATCAAAAATGTAAATCTTCTGTGGAAAGGCTCGACTAGAGTGCCGAGTGATTGTGGCCACAAATATCAGTCATATGTAAGATATAGCAAAATACGATGACTGCTTTAAGAAATAATTGGCGATTTTAAAATTAACATTCCAAATTTGATGCTCTCCTCCTACATTCATCTGTTCTCCCGAATTTGAAATCATTCCAAACTACGTAACACTGCTTGAAAAAGGTGACTAAAGCTAATATTGACCAATCATAGCTTAGAATACTCTCTGCACCTACGAAATATGTTTTCCTTCCCCTTTTTTTCCTTGGCTTCTGCCATGCAAAGAGCTCTGCGTTGCTTATGCTTCCCTGCCTAAAATGATGTCTTATTTGTATGCAATTATGATCGAAAAGTAATTTGTCTGCCAATGAAATAATTTTTGATGTGCCTAAATAAAGATGGTTATTCGCCGAAATTAGTTTTGTCAGCGTCTTATTCATACCTTATCCACCCAGCCATGTCTACAGCCAGACGTTAAAAGTACCGGATTTATGACTGCGCACTTAGTATATTACATATATATATATATATATATATATATATCTTCACCGCTGGAGGATAAAAATTAATTGAAAATAAAAAGTAACTTTTGTTTTTATTTACATAATAGGAATAAAAAATTGCCTTTCATTCATGTAATTTATCTTACATTAGAAATCAAAAGGATTGCATTTACGTACATGTTCTACTTCTCAGTCAATGCTCATGAAATCACAAAAATAGTAATCAGATTATTTTTGAAATTTTGATCTTTGTGATTTTAAAATTTATTTATAATTGGCTATATTAATTTACGGATTAAGAAAATTACGTTATTAAGAAACTATCATACAGATTTTATTTTAAAAAGGTTATGGTAATTGGTATCTGAATTTTCGTCTTCGTTGCAGCGCTTTAGGTATAGCTGGGTTATATACTATGAAATGTTTGGAGAATATTCTTTGTTGAAAACGAAAAACGAGAAAGGGAAAAAGAAGAAATTTTTTACTTCTTGGAACATCGGGCTTAGATATGACGTTTGAAATTTGGCTTAAAATTACTAAGCTACAGCTCACAACTGATTCACCTATGAAAAAGGCAGAGATAAAATATTTTATATCCTGGCTGTTGGCATAAGGATACCATACGTAATATGAAACATAAATATTTAAAAAATTTTATAAAATCATTTGTCATTTTAATAGCGTAAAACTTCTTTTATTTTCAGATCGAGCCAAATATCACATCAATGAAGCTCAAATACCTTTTCCCCCGGAGCATCAAATTAACACATTATCTCCATCGAATTATGTTATGAATTCATTAACTGGAAAAATTCTTCAAATCCAACCAGAAGAAATTCTGAAACCATACGAGTTTGCTTACAAACTGAATGATGGAAACGGGAGTTCTCAACACAGACAAGAAATTCGCAACGAAAATGGAGACATTCGAGGCAGCTACGGTTATGTAGATCCTCTTGGAATATACAGGAAGGTGGAATATTATACAGATACAAACGGTTACCATGCTAAAGTCGAATCTAACGAACCTGGACTTTCCAATAAAAACAGTGCTAACACTATTTTTGTTGTTCAAACTTCACCAGTGGCAAAAATAATTCCGGAAAAATCGCTCCCCTTATTGCTCTTACCACGAAGATCTGAGGTGTAATCATTGTGTTGTAGAACATTGGATATAAATGGATGCTTCTAAAATAAATTTTGATTGTAAGCATTATTCTTGTCTCATAACTTCCTATTTTCGTTAACGCAGTTTTATTTACTTTTAAATGTTCAGTCAGTTGAAAACCATTCATTATTTTAAAAAATTAAGTTAAAAATCGAAAGATTTTCAGAACAGTGCAATAAATAACAATTTTCACTTCAATTTAACAGTTAAATGCAATACATAACAATTTTTCGTGCAAACACCGGGAGATATACTGAGGATCTAAAGGATATATATTTCAATGAATTTTGCATCTACAGTAAAACAGTTAGCAAAGAATATTTATCACGGCGGATTATTTGCATGGTGTTTTATTATGTAACTATTCCAGCTGCAATGCATATCCATCAGTCGTAGCATCAGCTGCATCACACCATATTACACTGGAAATACACAATTAGTGAGGTTGATTATCATCGTCGAGCATTGCTAAAGACTAGCTAAATGCGTTATAAAGCATTCTCTTGTTTGATGTACTATTTTTTACTTCCTTGTACGAAGTAAAAATGAAGTATTGTTATCGCGAGAAGTTTCAGGCAGCATATTTCAACGAAAATATCCTTTTTGACCGCTTTTGAATGCAATTTAACAATGTTTTTGTGTGATATCTGTACGTAAGGACAGAATAAAAGACTCTTTTCCTCCAAAAAAAAATTATAGAACTGCTTTAAAATAAATTCTGAAGAGAACTTTTCGTGGCGTCTGTACGAACGTATGTACGTACGTATCTCGCATAACTCAAAAACGAGTAGCCTCAGAACGTTGAAATTTTGTATATAGGGACTGCTATAAACATGTAGATGTGCACCTCGTATTTTGGTTGCAATCGGCCGCACCACCTAAGGCGTATAATAAAAATATTATAAATATATCCACTCTGCTACCCAGGCTCAGTGATCTCAGTTTCTTTACTCTTATATGTTTGTAAATTGTACATTTTTTGCTTTAAAAATGATTGAATTATGTTGTTTTTATCTTCCGGTTAAGGTTTTTATGCCTTTAGTAAATCTGTATGCAATATTTTTAGAATTATCAACAATTTAATTAAAGTTGTTTAAGTGCCGCTAAGCCTAATAATTTTTTTGATGGCGGCCATTGCTTGTTTACATTTGAAAACAGCAGACTAGTGGAATTTGTTGCCAATCTAGAGAAACGTTAGCTTCGCAACAACAAAGATAACGCCTTCATTTATTATTGCGAATTAAATCATGCTTAATCCTTTCTGGAATTTTTTGAGGAAATAAGTTTTAGATTTACTTAATTTTACTTCGTAATTTTTAATACAGATATTTTGAGTTTTTATGTATTTTTGCCTTGTCGCGAAGTGAAGTGAGAACTGAATTAATTGAATGAGAAATACTCAATCGTCTGTGAAAAATGTTTTCTTTTTTGTTTTGTTTGCTTAATTTCTTTTTTATACATCGTTCTAGCTTTTTTTTTTATTTTATTTGAATAGAAAATGTGGCAACGATTAGATAATTCTTTAAATGATATAAATTTTGTGCATTCTGAGTTATAATATGAACGAAATATAATACTGTTAAGTGAACCTAGCGCCAGAGTGTCGCTATGGTAAACAAATAGTGTGAATTTTAAAGAATGCATTTATTCTATTGTGGTTTATGCGCTGTCGGCGAAGTAGATTTAATTCAATCCAATAAGTTTAAATGAAATGCAAGAAAAAATGCGTATAATTTAATATTCCGTACAAGGAAGTCATGTGGTGTACACGTCAGATTTTTAATATATGCTGTCGGTAAGCGTCTTTTAACTTTAAGAATGATGTTGGATAATTTCAGTATAAATGTTATTTCAGAGGTTCCGTAGTCTAAATTCCAACGAATTTCAATCCTGGAGATTTATGTGATCATTTATATTGAAAGTGAAGACTTGTACTTTAATTTAACCAAAAGATAAGAGTAACAAAGACAGAACATGGAATGATGCTCGTTCTTCAGTAACTATCACAAAATCTAATGTTTCTTTTATTCCAGATCAGGAATAATCTTTTGTAACAAATTGTAGCAAATTAGCCTGATGACTTATGCCAGACCTTCTCACTTCAGGTTTTCTAGAAGTGGCAAAATAAAGTGCCACTTCAGGCCTTTTTCTTTCCTTCTGCATGCTTCCTATATGAGAACAACAACAACAACAACAAAAAAAAAAAAAATTGGGTTATACCCAACTTTAGGCTTTTGCAGCAATTTCATATTTAGTGTTGACCCTAAAGGAGAGGCTGAAATGAGAACTCTCTGGAAATCAGCTTTTGTAGAAGTCTTCCCATTTCAGACGTTCTTGATAAGTTTGTTAAGAAGAGTTTTCCTTTTAGTTTTCCATTAAACGTCAGTGCTAAATCCAAAAGCTTGATGGGTTATGTTTTTGCAAAATATGTATGAAATAATGTTACAATTACTCCCCTACGTGTTCAGGTGTGAAATTAGCGTCACATAGCTGTGGTATCTATGAAATGTTTTTATTTGTTACATTTCAGTATTATTCTTATCTTGGGATATGGGAATTTCTAAAATATAATCGATATTTTGAGTATTCTGCATCTTAATTCAAGACTGTTGTCATCTTGAGACATGCGCACGTCGATTAAAGAATAATCGCGGCTAAAATATTTTCAGAATTCTGCCTTAAAGAAAGCGAAAACTGAGAAATTTTTAGGATTGGGGAAGCATTAAAACCTAAATTATAAATATAAAGCTCCAACGACTCATGAAAGTCGTAAGAGATGCTTATATCACGATTTTTAATAACAAATTCATTATTTATAGACCAATTTTTTTTCTAAATGCACATTTTATGGCGGAAGAGAACGTTAAACTATATACAGAATTAGATCTTTTACCACCAACGGCAAACAAAATAATCTCATTCAAATAGAAGGTATATTCCTTTTTTTTTTTTTTTTTTTCCCCGCCGAAGAAGACGACGAGCAAAGAAATTCAAGTATGCGAAAATGCGCTAAATGATCAAAAGATGTTTTAATTCCGATTGCGGTATGAACTATATAGTTTTGGATATAACACTTCATTTAACGATTAAATGTTGCACTAGAAATTTTGCTCTTTGATCTTATATCGATAGGTTGTTTCTTTGAAAAAGTTCACAAAACTCATACCACACAATTTTTTCTAAATTAGTGTCACTATCTATTACATAACAAAGTTTTCCCTGAAAAAAAAAATGTCATAGTATTTTAATTTCTTTGCCATTTAGTTCTAAACATATGAAAGGAGGATAATAATAAAATAGAATTTTTCCTTTTTAGCTTTATTATTAAGCACAGTTTTCTTCGCGCTTACACCACATAAAGTTCAACAACAAAATCACAAAATTTCTAAAAGCTGCATAGCAACCTATATTTAGAATTCCAGATGCAGTGTTAAGTGTTGGCATATTTTTTTTTTCAGTCTTTAGTCATTCCATCAGATCAACATTAAATTTTCTTACTAAGATAGCTAACAATTTTTTTTGTCTTTTTATTATTAACTTTCTATACGTCAATTTTATTTATTAAATATCAAGCTCTTCGCACTTGAACCACATAAAATTCAATTCAAAAGCAAAATCACAAAATGTTTAAAAACAGCGTATCTTTAAAATTTCCGACAGGTCGGAAATTCTAAAGATAATTCTAAAGATCAGTCGCTGAAGATTTAAAAAAAAAAAATTCGAAATGGTTGCCATTGTTAGCTTTCAAATCATTGAGTTCGTTAATCAAAAAATCGTTAAATGTTTTACAAAATATGAAATAAATAATAAAACAAATTCGAATTTCAAAATTGGAGTTTCCAGGTGCTCTTGGGTTGAGGACTGCGCTATTCAAAATTTGATGACTTAAGGTACCATTGTTTTTCACAACGGGAGGAATATACATACATATATGCAGATTCTTCATTATTTAATTTCTGTAAAAGTAATACAAAGCGATAATATTTGGTTGCTACAATTTGAAAAATGATACGCCGTTTATAATGAACCTATGCAAAATTCCATTTCAAGACTATTATCCCTTTTTGGGCTAATAAATATTGTAAAAGTCTATTATAAACATCTTTTGTCTATATACAGAGCACATAAAACATTCACATGTATTTGTAAAACGAACCAGAAGAATAGATTGTCTTTTTTTAATAAATCGATTTTATTCCTTTTTGTGGCGTAGTGAGCATAACTGGCGCCCGACGCAGAATATCTTTTTGGCGGCCCGCCTAAAACATATAGTAATATATAATATATGGAATATACTCATAATAAGAATATAATTCAAATAATAATAAAATGCGCTGTGTGCCATAGAATACTCCATAATACTGTTACGGATTTGGTATTTAAATAACTAATATTAGTAGAATTATAAATTAAATTGTTTTATTCCCCGCACAGTGCAGCGCGTGACGAATATTAAAAGAAATCCAAGCCGGAAAATTAAAAATACAAGAGCACGTGCATTTAATATCTAATAAATAAATATGTCTTTTGGATTTCGAGATATTGCTAGAACAATCTCGCGCTGATTTAAAAAGCTTATAAAAAGGAGGAAAACCTCTCAATTTAGTTAGTTAGTTTATTGTTGTTTTAAGAGTTTGTTTAGAAAACTGCTCTTGTTGACTGTAGCGAATTCACGGATTAGCTTTCTCTAGCTGTTTTGAATTAAGTTCTGTTGAACGTTTGAGTAGTTAAAGATTGTAAGGATTATGTTAATTTTATTAACAGTTAAATTTTAAGTTCCTTTCCTGTCAAATTCTTAACTTCAACTTACTACTACCGGTCAGAACGTAGTTTTAGAATCACGTCTGAATACATAATGAGGAAGAGAGGTATTTAACCGTGAAGTTCTTTGGTCTTAGCGAGAGAGAATCAGAGTTTCTGATTTACGCGCGTCTGCCTTTTGGCCACTCTCTCTCTCTCTCAAAGCTGTTATAATTCTCGGCCGTACTCAGGTCCTTGATAAGCTTCGGCTATATTTCTTTAGTTTAGTTTAATTTTTAGTCTCTTAA